TGCCGACGACGGCCACCGCCTTGGTTGAGAGCTGTATTTGGTCGGTCTGGTCTACTGGCTGAGCCGTCATGCTACTCAGGAAGCAGCAGTATGCTCTCCAAAGGTCCTGTCCATAGAGGAATCAATTTCCAGGGAAAATATTTCCACCCCAATGAAGCCATTCTGCAACCTCAGCTGGATTTTTTTCTGCCACAAATTGAATTGAAAACTATTTTATTCCGAAGATTTTGCGGAATATTCTGAACGACTCCATTGTAATGCTGAAAAACTCCCAGCAGCTGATGTCGGTATCAATACACGTACTAATAATAGTATTACTGATGCAGTTCTTATAAATCGATCCTTTCCTTCTTGATAACCTATAAGTTTACTTACTAATATCCCCTTCTAATCCGTGATTTTTTTACTCCATTCATTCAAATGTCTGCTTCTTCTGCTTGCTATTTTGGAGTGAAAATCCTAATGGATGGACTGAAAAAGACTTCTAATGCCTCCGGACATTTTTTTTCGTTCTCACACAGGAAATGACAATCCGGGATCGCTTTACGCCGTAGTCATCACCAAAAAACCAAACTGAAAAACTTCCGTTCAGTAGTAAATAGGCACCGCACGATGCTTACCTCGTCCTAGTATACCCTTCATTACGTCTACCTCTGAAACGATCCCTTTGTCCACAACTTTGTCCCATTACGGAAGGAGGAGCTGGGTATTCCAGACGGATTGGGGGTGTTCGGAGAGCACCCCATATCATTATCCAACATTTTTCTAAGTCCGGATTCCTAAGCACCAGATTTTTCGGTTTCACAAGACTCAGGTGGGGGTACTAGCAATCAGTAAAGCCAAATATAATATGATAAAGAAATCCCTTTTTTAACTGAATGAATATCATTCTGGGTCCATTACAACAGTCTATCATTGGCTAACATAAGCTTAAGATATTCTATCACTTCATCGACATTTCCTACCAAAATCTCCTATTATTGTAGAGTTAGGTTCCTACTGGGGCTCTAATTGAACTTGTTTGTACTAGATCGAATAACAAGTTAGAGTGACTTTATCAACTTGAATCGAAAATAATTACCTAACCCATTACTTACACTGCTTTTCAATTTTTTTCATATCCATAAACATTGAGCTTTTGATTTGCTCCAGGTTATTGGCGTTTTTGTAGCCCATATTGAAGTCTGTTTTTAATTTTGGACCATTGGCGTAATTGTTTTATATAAAATTACAAATTTTAAGAAAGCAGGCATACTGTAGTGCTTGCTTTCCTAAATTCCCCAGTTATATCTACATACAACAATCAAGTCAGTGATTCGAGGCTGATTCATTGACCTTCAGGGAGCCATTCTCCAGAAAATCCACCAAAGCTCTCTTTATCCTTTCTTAATCCTCTCTCTGTGCCTCCTTTCTATCAAGCAACTTTATAATTTCATTTTTATTTGTGTAGGGAACCGTTCACGTGGAAATCCTCGTGGAAGACTTCTTCAGTTCTCCTCATATGTCCACTGCTGGGAAATAATTTATGGTTGATAAAGTCTTTCGAACTACACACAATGTGAAATCGTGGTCAATAGTGGCTCAGTGTCCATTGAAACTTTTCAATATTTTGTTTTTTTATTCATTTTCAGCCAATTTGCAAATTTATTAGTAATGATAAATATGACAAAAAAAAAGAAATCCAGTCAGTCCGAAATCATGAAATCCATGACGATTGCGATCCAAGTAATCGGATACCGGTTTCTGACCAGCGGTTTGAACCTTATCGACTTTGATGCTGCTTTTTTTTTNTTTTTTTTTGTTCCATAAATGGTTTTTTTTTGGTGCTAAAGTGAAATCGCGCCAAGGGGCTCACTACAGCAGTCGTGGTCCGGGGATCGAAGCCCGGTTCAAGGTCCTCCAAAAAAAGAAACATCTGAGACTTGTTGTGGTAACAAATTCTGGGGCTCAAACTGCTAACTATCGTATATTACGTACTTCACTTACTACTACAATACTTTGAATGGAAGTAGATTAGACGAACAGGAATGATCCTTCGGATGCTGCTTTCCACTACAGGAATTCCTAAAAATATTTAATCAGTTTACAACTTTTGAAGCACCTATCGCAATGATTGCTTATTAGTAAATCATTTGCTTATTTCATGATATCAGAAAAAAAATATATAAAATTAGCGTAAATAATCGAATCGCCCGTTTATCCTCATCCATTTAACCAAAACTTAGTCAAGTCATTCTGAAACCATATCCAACCTCCTGCCCTCTCTTCCCAAACAGCTTCATCAACAACATTCCCATAACGCAAAGGAAAAAACACAAATTGAGAAGTCATATGTGATGGAGTGAATTATGGATCTTCCGAAACTGAAAATCCAACGGTAGCAAAAAGATACTATGCAAATTTGCAAAAGCGAAACTTTGTTTATCGATCCACTATATTGATTTGTTACTGACAGATTGGCATAGACATGGCAAAACCAACTGTTAGAGTGATTCGTCTATTTTCAATAATTCAGCTAAATAATAACTACATGTTTTCTATTTCATTACTGTAATGATGGGTCGAGGACATCTGGCGCAATCAAAAACATAGTTGAAGCAGTGTTTTCGTTTTGACCCCCTAGTTTTACCTACAGTTTACTTTTACACTTACATAATCATCCAGTGAGGCAATACATCATTTCGTTTGGCTTTTGCCTCAACTAACTAATACCTCTCTAATCTCACCCATTTTTTTCCATGTTCAACAAAGACGTTTCTTGGTTGACGTTGGATTATCCTTGTTATGGAAATGACATCAGAACTTCATAGTTTAGAACCATGTTGATCCTTTGGAAGTTACTTATGCCTTACTTTTTATGCCGTTCCGAATGAAACGAGTTGCTTGAATATATCTATGCCAACATCAGCTGCACCACGTTTTTTGCACTATTTTACGATCACAATGAAAGACTTTGAGCAGTGTAAAATTACGTTTATCAGTGACCTGGAAAATTTTGAAATTGCAAAGCGAAAAAAAAAATCGGAGAACGTTAGGAGGGTTCGATTCTGAGATCGAAAAAACGATTAAATTTTCAGTCAACAAATCGCAATGGTTATTCCGAGTACTCGGAAGGGCCACAACAACAACAACGCCTTACAGCCTAACCATCATAATGACGAGGTACGGTATTCAGACCTACACTTCTTTCTCCTTTTTATATTTATTTTTTTGATACACGAGCAATAGTCGTGTGAACCCCCAACATAAAAACAAAAAAAANAAAAAAAACAAAAGTATAATATCATCACAACATTTTAGGTGTAAAATGCTTTTTTTTAATAAGAACTTTTCTGCAAATATAAGTCAAATTGATCCGGCGTGTTCAACCTGTTTGATCTACAACCAGTAACTACTATTTTGCTCATTTGAATCGCTTATTCTTGTTTCATCTTCTTTGTGCTTTTCTTTTCTCTCACCGTAGTTATTGTAAGACATCGAGTAAAAAAGATTGTGCTAACGCTACTTTTTCTTTACCAGTACTATTACTGCCCATCTTACTCAATCTCAAAAAAATTACATTTAAGTAGGAACGGTGGTTCCCGAGTAAGGTGTGGCTAAATAAGTAATATTTTTTGTTGTCAAATCGAAGTGTCCAGATTCACCAAGAATATATTGTCCTTATAGTTATTGATCGGTGCTTCCATAGTGTTAGATGAATCGCCTTATGTTTCAGGTCTCACATCATCACGTTTACGCATTCGAGCATAAATCAGAGAATGGATGCCCTCGAGCCGAGCTGGTATCTGGTGGGATTTCTAAGTATCGCCCACTGTTCTTCAAAGTGCATATCCAAGTTGAAATATTGCCTGAACATTAGGTGGATTAGACCTTGTTGCCATGGTCCTGGGATCTTGAGGCTGGAATTCGTAACAACATTGATTCACCGTACAAGTTACCACATTCTGTTATAGTCACCCTCTTACCATTAACTTACTTTGATTACATTACATGGATATGACTTACCAGTTAGGTTTTTGATATGGAACTTTTGCCTGCACTTTGTCGAAGCATGAGTAATGGCCAGGGGGGCATTATGGGGATTTGTCTGGGGAGGGTAAAAGATTTTGAGAAATGGCGTGTAGGTAAAATAGAGGGGGTAAAGGTTGGATGGCAATGTATCGAAAGCTTTAGTGAGAATAGCCTGAATAGCCATCAGCCACTGGAAAGAAACTTGTCCCGGGAGATGGATGTGCTATAAAGCTCCATATCTGGTAACTATAACCTGTAAAAAACTAAGAGCCTATTCATTGAAAAAGGCGTGATTCCGATCCTGAAAGCATGGCACTTTTGAGAATGGGCTTTGACAACGCTAGAAGACTCGCCCCTTTATCGTTCAAAACAATATCTACATGTATCGGATTTTATCATTTGCTACTGATTACGGTAACAAAAAATCAATACTTTCGGTGTTGATTAATTTGCTTTCACAGTGACGTATTAACTTTTCTTCTACCTGGCAGTTTTTCTGAGAGGATCAAACTTTCCATCGTCAATCCTCTTTCATTTGTAATTTCCCGTCATTTGCAGTATAAATCTTGAGGTGTAAAGATTATTGGCAAAGATAAGTTTTTAAGTGACGAATCTGCTAAAGAATGATCAATAGGGCGTGATTGATCCATTACAATCGATCGATTCGAGCCGGGAAAAGTAGGGATTCAGCGTCTTTCCAAAGTCCAATAGCGTCGCTATAGGACCTCACCTATTCGCCCAGGTTTACCAAAACACCAGCACCAATCCGTCTATGGGTGGCCAGGATTTGCTAGCCGAAAGAAGACCTCCTAGTAGTAAGTCAAGTTGCCACCAGTAGGGATTGGAAAATAATAAAAAATTTGATTAAATAGTTTTTGTCATCGATTAATGAAATCAGTCACATTTTCTTCTGACAAATACGATTACAACTGTACAAGTAATACTTTCCGAGGAACAACTAGTCAATACCAGCATGTAAGCATTACAGTAACTACTGTCATTCAGGTGCCGGTGATACTGTATTGAAATTGAATATCGGTGGTATGTCGTTTCGGATTCGAATGACAAGCTTATTTTCACGGACGGAAGAAGAAAAATTGGTGACGTTTGCTCAGATGGATCATGAGAAACGAGTGCGATCATGTGACGCCTATATCGTTGTGAGTCCAAACACAGACCGGAAATCGGAAATTGTTATCGATCCGCACAATCAATATAACTAAAACTGTTTTCAGGACGCTGAAGAATACTATTTCGAGCGATCTTCAGTTTTATTTGATGCCGTTTTTAAATATTATGCAACAGGCCAATTACATCGGCCGTTGGACGTTTGCCCTCAGGAATTTGCCAATGAACTTTCTTATTGGAAAATTCCCGAATCTGTCATGTCCAGCTGTTGTTGGCGTAGCTATAATCAGCTGTGAGTAGTATTTTGGTAACTTGTTTTGCTAATTCAATCAGTAACTCTATTCGTCAGAAATTACTAGTAACGTAAACATATCCCAGTATGTATTAGCTGCATGCTCGAGGTGTTCTGATAACAAAAAATCTAGAGACCTTAGGTATGTAAGCATTCAGAGAAGGAATTTCGGATACGAGGACACGAAAGTAAGTGCGTGTGTGAAACCTATCCTTATATGAATTATTGTATTCATATGTTCATCACGATAGATCGCTTTTTTGATTGCCACCCACCATCTCCCCCCTTTGTCGTGTGTACCAAAAAGGCAGCTCGTCGTCTATCTCCATAGCATGAATTCCTTGGTCGTCTATTAGATCACTTTTGATTTCCGTTTCATTCAGGAGCGCTTCAATAGAAGAATTGGCTCATAAGAAGAACAAAACCCTTGAAATGAATGATCGTTCATTACGAAGTCGAATACATCATTTCTGTGAAGGCGACGGTTCATTACTATCAACTCTATTCACCTTTGGCAGCATATCCTTTGTATTGATCTCTGTTATTGGCCTTATACTTGGATCGATTCACGAATTCCAGGTAAATTATCGACCTATTGATTAATTTTTTAAATGGCACCGAACTCTTTCTTGGGTTTCATTTCATAGACCTGCCTGCTTTGAGCCCTCCGAAGGTCCTGATGTCTGGAGGTAAAGGGCTACAGCCTCAGTTATCAGTTATCGTTGGCAAATTAAATAAGTTTGAAATCTCTGAGAACTGAAACGCTCTGAAATCCTGCCTCAGGTGCTTGAAAAAGAAAGAATTAAGGAAAAATATGAGTAGCAGAGTGAGGCTGAGCTGCTATGCCTCAATCCTGAAAGTAGGTCCCTGAGGCGAATGAGCATGACCAGCCTAACAAGTATTAGGCATAGCTCGTTGGAAAAATGTCCTGTACATTGTAAAAATATGCCATTTTTGCAGAAAACAGATCTAGGCCTTGCAAAGTCGTCCGATAGCTGACAACGTATACAGATGTTTGTTTCATTTGTGAAAGAATCCGAACAGGCGGCTCAATCAAATCTGACCAGTTTTTCATTTGTCTTAAAGTGCCGTATGCCAAACCGGAGTAACTCGGTCTTCGGAGTGTTTCACATGTTTCTATGTGTGTCAGAAGCCGAGAAGTCGAGTTTCAAGCGAGCTCTTCCGGAGCAGTTTTTGATCGAGCAAATGTATTCAACGTGCCACAATACAATCGTCTGTTCAACAGCATTACTACATTTCCTCCGTTGAAATGTTGCACGTAGATAGCTTGCTCTCTACGTCGTAGATAAGGGTGGCGAGCGTCACGAAATTAACGATCAGAGACCTCAGAACTACTCATATTACTGCTCACGTGACAACAAACCGACGAAGGATCGTTGGCTTTTGCGTTTCCGTTTACGCTCCCTCTTCGTCTCCATGTCTTAGACAAATTGCAAACCAGCAATTATAGCCTAACATGATCGACAGGATACTGGGATGTTTGAACAACGAGGAGCCAGGCGTCTTCAGTTGCACCCAGACTAAGTAGTTCGGGGCCATCGGAATCCCTCCCTACGCCGACACTTGCGAGTGCAGCGATCATCGGACGGGGAGCTTGGGCGGCCAGAGTGTAGTGTGTTAAACACGCTTTTTACATGGATCAGATGTCTTTACATGATCCATTACATCCGGGGTTAACAGCACTTTCAAAAAAGTTCAAAGGCATCGTTTGGTTTTGGATCACTGTTAAAAATTGAAAATAAGTATCATTGAAGAGCCTTTGTCACATAAAATCTCTATGAGCCACCTAGAACCGTATTAAACTAATTTCAACATCAAAAACTTTTATAAACCTTTTTCCTGAGCTGCAAGAATGAGCGTTTACATGAAGTTGTGTTTCCTATTTGAAGGAGGGTGGCAGAATGATCTCAGAACCGTGGGGAGGGAAAACAGCCCTATGTGAACTGCATAAATGCTCTAGAACAGCCCAAGTTAACTATTTTTCAAATGAATAGTAACGGATAAAAACCTAAAAACCCTTCGGTCTTCTTAAAAGCTACCCAGGCTTGGTTGCGATCCGTTAGACCTTCTTCCACCCTTCCACCACTGTAGAACCACATTAGGGCCGCGGTTGTGTCCACTAGTACCAACGGGACCCAACCCATCACGCCATGCCCCATACCTTTAAAAAAAAAATTATTCGTAGCAAAGTTTCCCATTTTCAGGTGCCAATTGTAAAGCATGGAAAGATATCTCAGCGTGTCAATAACCTGAGTGCAGGTAATTCATCAATTTATGAAACTTTCATCCCAAGAATCACTTCAATTTAAGAAAAAATAGCTGTTTGAATGCACCATTAGTGTTTGTGAATGACTACGATGAGTAGGCATTACCAATCGATTTATGTGGATTGTCGTTTGCTCTATCGATTAATGTGAAAGTTTTGATTGGAGAATTTCATCTTCTCAACTATTTAGAGATCTTCATCCTATGTAGCAAGATTTTGTTAAGCGGCGTGCGCGATAGCGTTTATGCAGCGACCGGCCGCTTGGCTGCATTCAGACTTCTCGGCGTGAATGCATCGTGCCATTTAGCGCGACGCGATGGATCGATATCACCTAGTTCACTGTTATTGTCAGGATTAAACTCACTCTATAGCGATCCGCCTGGCTGATGAGACTTTGCTCTTTCGCGTATGGTTTGCCATAATGTTTAGTCAGTGCGTGGTTGGGTACAGCACTTTACTGCTCTATCTTGGTCAGCAAGCTACCTATCATATTCAAGTCGTGGAAAACTGATTTAGCCGTGTTGCTATGCTTTCCTATGCTTCAAAGGCGTTTGATCCTGATATGGCCTGACGAATTTCGTAACATAGATCCATCTCACTGCTGAATTTGCGCGCCAGGTTCACGTCCGGCATCGATCAATATTCTGCAATAAGGGCGTTCGGGAGAGCCAAGGGCATAATCTGCAATTACGATCCTGCTTCGCAGTACATGACAATCACTGTTTTGCTCTACAATTCAAAAAAAACTTACTTTTAAGGAAAAGGGGAGGGAGAGCAACCAATGTTCAACCAGGTATGAACATAGCCTTTCATGCAAGTTACACACAGGAATTACTGTTGTCTTCAGGTTTTCGTTGGGAGAACTTGCAGATGGCAACTTGCCGTCTGGTCACATTCACGATTTCAGGCTACTGCAGCCGTAGCAGTGGACCAGATTTTTCGGATATCTCAACCAACAGGGGTGGTGTGAGAGGCATGATGGACACGCGGGGCAGGCATGCGAGTGAGTGACCTAATTGCCGCGCGCGGCAACTTTCCGCCGTCAAAAACGGGGACTTATGCACATCCTTCTGTGCACCCATATAAAGATCGAATCACAAATGCTTGCTTAGTTGCTGTGCTGCTACAGCTCCTACACTGATACAATTAATAAGATTTCCTCAATGCAAGAAAAATTGTAGGGCATTTCTTGCACGATTTTTTCTTCATATGGCATGGGATACGCGGAACAAAACGTCATACGTGTATAGATTGATGTGTTACGCGTATAATTGACAGAAGATTTCAGTACTGCTGTATCGTTTTCAGATTCACCTGTGTCTCGACACTACAAAGGTTCTGATGTTAAGTAGTTGTGCACGTGTTTTGCATGTTGTTGCATGAAGCTATTCGGAATGTTGTGCTGTGTTTTATGATTTTTTTTCCAACAGTACCTGAATTTTTACTTGTTTTTTCAGAGTATTCTGACGGAAATTCACTTATTTGTTCATTACTATAGTTCGAAAGGGATGTAGTAATGTTTAGTAGCTAAATTCCCAGCTAAAATTTTGCCGGGCTGTCGAATATATCTGTGTTCCTCGAGTTGGACAGACGATGCCTAAGTAAAAAAGTGCTTTTGACTTGAATTTGGGAATATGGGAAGAGTAACACACTCTAGTGCATAGCCACTTATGAAAAATAACAAATGGTTAGCCATTAGCTTGAAGAATTTGACTACTGGGAGCACTTCCATGAAACAGCTGTTTTCAACAAAAAAAACGTCATCTGAGCTCAATGCCAAGGATGATGAAAGATAAATCACGCAGTAGCAGACTTTCAGCATGTTACCAGGAACACGGGTGCTCCCATTAGTCAAGAAATGGGCGAGAGATGTTGCAAATGTTAAATTATTACTTGGTGCCCCATGTAGCGCGGGCTACGTATCCGGCTTTCAACCGGAAAGTCCCGTTCGTAAGTTTACTCTCGGAACTTTGAAATAATACTGAGAGTAAGCTGAGTACGGACTTTTCGGGTTTTACCCTCCCAGAGAACGATCCCATTTAACCCCATTTCAAATTGTGGAAAATTTAGTAAAACAGTGTGGTCATGGGTCTACTAACCTGTTACATTGAAATTACATTGCTATAAATCAAGGGACAACTTATTTCCATGCAATTCGAATTTTTGACCTTGCAATTAGTAAAAGTAACAAAACTGAGAGGTAGTAACCACGTCTACTTGGCGCAGTAGTTTCTCAAAAGAATAAAAACGTTGAGCCATCAACCGCTGCGGCCCATTATGCCTTTGTAAATCCAAATTTTGTTTTCTAATTTTTTTTNTTTTTTTTCTGTAGGATAGAATGAAGGGGTAATAAGATCAAACCGAGGAGGTAGGTTTGCTTCATGAAAGCTGTAATATGTTTGATACTAGAAAGTTCCGTGTCTTCTTTAATTTATTACCCTGACCTCCTAGCTACATAACCCTTTAGTGAAAACCTCCTATCCTTTGTAAAATCCTGAAAAACCAAGCTAATTCTCACCATTATCCATTATTAATAAGTGAAAAAAATGAAAACACTCCAGTTACTTATTGATCTTGTTTAGTGAACGACCCGAATGTTATTTGGGAACCGCATCCAGTTTTTGGCTACATTGAAACCACATGCATTATATGGTTTACATTTGAATTCATTCTGAGATTAGCTGTAACACCTTCGAGGTAAGTACAAGGTAGCTCATTTTCTTGGATAAATCAATCCTTTTCGAGGGGAAAAAACTTTGAGGTACAAGTAAGTTGTTGAACGAGACTAAACTCCATTGAGTGAGAGTGTGAGATCTGCAGAGTGTGCTGTTGAAACGTAAAGTTTTTTTGCTGTCATGTAACATATCGCCAATCTCATTACCAGTTTTTGCTTATCAGTCGTCGTGGAATTCGATGTTTTCTCGTTTTTCTGAAAGCAGTGCCCTCGAGACATAGAAATAAATTTGATTCAGTACAATCTCATCCATTAAAGTGACTAATATGTATGTTAGACGACTATGACAAGGTAAGCCAAATTGAAAAGGGACAGTATGACAATGGAAATAAAAAAAAACTTTCTGCAATTGATAACACCCGGAAGCTAACGATCACTTTTGTTTAGATTCTCTAAAATGAAGCCGATCAACATTCTCAAACTCACCCGTCTAAGAACGGAATAAATGTAAGCAGCTTGAACGCTGTGGACACGCTCAACATCCTTCAAAGTCGTAGGATGGCGTAGTCAACCAATGAGGACGGCGCAAGGAGTAACTCCCCGCGCCGTCTTCATTGGTTAAATTGACGCGTGGCCACCATGTAGTTTGACAATCCAGCAAAGAGAGAGGTTGAGGTCAAACAGATAAGCTTGACATCGGAAGAGCTCTATCAGGGAAGTATGAACCAGTTTTATCGGGGTCCGGGAACTTCTCCCTTGTCACGGCGTCGCACACGCCGCACCCGCCGCGTATCGCAGGATTGCGATGAAAGATTGGAGCGCGCAATTTGTAAGGTAGGGAGTCCGCTTACATAGGAGGAGTTATTTCAACTAATCAAGTCTAATAAACATGAAAACGAAAAAGGAACAGAAGAAAAAACGATCAAATCCAACAAAAAAGCAAGGCAATCAACGAGAAATATCGCGTCTTATCGATTGGCGGGGGGCGGGGTGAGTACGGTAATTGCAGTGACATTCGCCGCATGCCGCAAGGGAGAATGCCGCGATAGGGGAGAAGTTCCGTTACCCGTTTTATCGTCTTCTGACCACGTATTGAATGAGCACTTGTGATACGCTTCATTAGAAATAAAGACAGCTACTGCAACTGGTACAAAGGAATTGAATTGAAAATGTAATGTGGTAGACATAATGTGTAAAATGACCATCTCATCAGAATCGAATATGAGAATTTACTAACAATCGATTTTGAAGGGTACAATTCCTCGTTGGGATAATGAATATCGTCGATATGGTTGCAATTGTTCCATTCTACTTAGAACTTGGTTTAGCCATGTTCGGTGTCGATGTTGCCAGTCTGAGTGATATCAAAGGTATGCCTCTACTATGTCCTTCTTTTACTAGGTACTCTTTCTGCTCCATTATCAGCAGTATTCTTTTACTAGTTGCATGCTTCCTAATTCCTAACTGAATTAACAAGTTACGGTAAACATAAGATTCTGAATCTATGAAGTTTGATACATAAATTTCCTTTTGAAATACTTTCGTTCAACAGTGACCATTTAGCAAACTTACCCTGTAGCTGGAATTATTACTCAGGGCTCTACCCATATACTTACAAGTTGCAGTCGAAAAACCGAAACCTATCCTCTCTTAATCTTCGGACCATCCAAACCTTCATGCATGGTCGATCGATGGATAAAGGAAGACGAGCCCCTCATCGAAATCGAGGGATGACAAAAAAATAAGGCACTGTGGGGTAAGAGGAGAGCCCAGACAAGGAAGTGAGCGCTGCCAAAACGAGGGGACGACGGCATCGACAGCGGTAGATCAACGCGCCTTATCCGTGCATGAACAGAAAAGTGAAGATCAAGACCAATACTTTACTGAAACTCTTTGTACAACTCGCATATGTTTCTAAAGAGCTCTTGACGCTGATTTCAAGTATGTACGTCATTTTGGAATTGTTGAGTTTGAAAGAAGAAAATGGTATACTTGGTCCTAAAGCCACCAGAATGGGAAGGGGGCTGCATATTCGACCCCAGGATGAAGAACTCTATGCTGTATGTAGAAGCTGCCTGAAAACCAGGGTCCTTCACGATTTTTTGCCAGTCTCTCAATTTCGATCAAGAGACCTCTTCACCTTTAGATGCCATAGGTGCTGGTATGTTATTCAAAAGGGTTTAATTCCAAATTTATACATCGTTTTTGAAATAGTTGAGTTGGAAACGAGAAAATCGAACGAATCCTCAACATGAACAAAACGTAACGGGCACTGCCTACTCGAAATCAGCGTTGAAAACCCCATACAAAATAGGTTCCTCGACCCCCGTTAAACGATAACTATATGCATTGATTGATGACTGGCTTCAAGTCAATCCGTCCCGCGCACGTTTTAGATGACTGTAACCTGGAAGATGTTAATTTTTCCAATTATGCTTCCTGAGCACACTCTGTAATAATGGTTACAAGGAGAAGTCTATTGGCAGATTGACAACTTTGAAGGAGGCATCCCAAATCGTAAGACAGGACTTCGTATTTCACTTCAAACCGCAGCTCAAAACGGATCAGAACTGGGTAGAAGAAGCATGTAAACCCCATCTCGAATGCGAGAAGTCAAAATGATTCAGTTATTTTATGATGCCTTTAATATGGTTTGGTTGAGCCAGACTGGACTAACGCCAGCCATACCAGCTAACGCCACAAACCCCTCGACTTGTTCGGGGGAACATCACCAGATGTTACTTCACCGCCATTATCACATCATGGAGCTTGAGTGGAATTAGCCATGGAGATAAGCATCTGGTGACAACAAGTTCCTTGGGTTTCAAATTCACCGCTGGCAAAGCATTTGTGGGCGGAATTTCCTGCCAGGGTAGTGTAGTTGCCTCAAAGAAACTGCTTTAAGACACTGCCAACTTGAACAGGGAAAGTCGGGAATTGGCGAAAGCGCTGTGGTTCAAATGTGGGTAAGTAGATAGTTCAGTGAATAGGCAACACAATTGACCGTTCTGCATGGACTTCAATCCTACATTCCATGCAAATCCACTCTTTGACAACCTGACGTTGTTTCATGTCTGCCACTTCCTGGGGTAACGGAACTTCTCCCAGAACTCCCTTCGTAGCACGCGATCGCGGGCGGCGAGCGCGACACGCCGTTCGGAGGAGACGGGCGTAAGGAACGATTTTGGGTAAACGATTTGCCGCACGCGGCTGTCGCGGACCACTCATTCGCAATTATTACAGCTCTAGCGTTCTTCATAGAGCTCAATCGATATGCGATCATTATTTTATGCATAATTCTACTATTAGTACTTTTGTTCTTGTATTTCTTACCTACNGCTGTATCCTGCTACATTCCTTCGCGCGCGACGCCCCTCTCACCGCGTCGCGACCATTTCGTTCCTAACGCACCACACCCGCCGTTCGGGGAGAAGATGCTAGACCCCCTTTCTTGACATGGACCTGGTCGTCGAATACCATATTGAGAGAATTTTGCAGACATTTTTGAGTAGTGACCCAATTATTGACTTTCAGGTGCTCTATTGGTGGTGCGTGTTTTGCGGGTACTTCGTGTCGTACGAATATTGAAACTCGGACGATATTCGTCTGGCATGCGAACGTTCGCCTTGACATTACGCAGTTCAGCCCGACAACTTGGAATGATGGGCATGGTAATACAGTCTCTCAAGATAATAATTTCAGAAGACAAGTGTACACTATGCATGAGGCTTGATCCGCTGGAGTTCTTGAGAGCGCTGTCTCTTACGATAGTGAAATCTACTTGAGTAATAAGAATTATTCCAACATATTGCCAACTCAACAGTGTTTTAGGTGCTATCTACTGGTGTTGTGTTCTTTTCAACGTTACTCTATTTCGTAGAGAAGGATGAGGTAGATACACCGTTCACTTCAATTCCAGCTGCATTCTGGTGGTAAGACTTCAACATTGGCTATGATTTTGTTTTACTCTCGGTCTTCCGAATTATTTTTGTCATTGGCCTCGCTAAACGCCATTTGTTTTATAAATTGCCTTCATAGTCCGCCGGCCGGCCAGCAAGCGCGCGCCAGCCGGGCGGCGCCTGCCACTTGTTTGCAACTGAATCTTGATCGATACCGCAGGTCGAGAAGTCCCCCGGCCGGCTGACTATGAAAGCAGCCATAGCACGGTCTGTCAAATATCGCGCAGCATATGGCGCGTGTATATCTCCTCCATTCCTTTCGATCGGTAGGTATGATTGAGCGCGAGGACCTCGCTGTTCGGTGCATGGCACTATTGCAATACAATATCCATTTGGGGGAGGATTGATTATCGATTGGCGCACGCGCTTGTTCTTAAAGAAAGGTAGCGGTGCCCTTCACTGCAGCTCATTGTTTAGTGTTAAATGCTTCTTAAAGCTATACAATTCCATCAATGCTGTTAAATACACTCTCCGTTTGATGTAGAGTGTAGCTCAGCTCTGCTTCAACCATTAGAACGGGCGGTGGGTTAGGACCTATTGACAGCCCTTTTATTTAACTCGCTTTTGCTTCGACTCATTAAAAGAAAGCGTCAAGAACGTTGCTCTCAAGCTGACGCTCACATAAAGATTTCCTTATTCTTCTTCGTATTTACGGTTGCGCCTGTTTACCCATAATGATAGTTTCTTGATTCTACATAAAAATTCACTGAATAGCCTCTCCTGACAACACTTAGTGTTTTCTCATTCGAACTAAGTCTCTAACTCGCGACTTTACATTCCAATATATATTCAATTTCAGGGCCATTGTAACAATGACGACAGTGGGCTACGGCGACTACGTTCCTGTCACTATACGTGAGTTACTTCTGTAAACTTCATAAGCAGTGGAAGGAACAGTGAGAACATAGAAGACGTATCTGTCAAGAAGTACGGGTCACGGTTGCGTAGCCTGAAAATCTTATCATAAAGGATGCATCATAACAGATTCGCTTCGTGGTCCGCTGTGCTTCCAACTTTTTTTGAAACGTATCGGCACAATACCGTCGCCGGGGGCTCGCTGAAATTAGGCTGCCGCGCGCACGACGGCATCGGCTAGTCGTAATAGGACCTGTCGTGGAAGCCGCGCGCACGGCATGTCTTCTACGCACTGGCGCTGATGGTATGGGCAGACTATGCCCATATACCAAATCTCTCTGAAAGAACTTTTCGTTTAAGCTCTTCCTAGGGTAGTATTCGAGGTGTGTTTTTAATCATTATGTAGGATGCGATTTTTCAGCTGGAAAACTGATCGCATCTGGAGCGATTATCAGCGGTGTACTTGTGCTCGCATTGCCTATCACCATCATTGTCGACAACTTTATGAAAGTATCGGGAAAGTGAGTGGAAATCTTTTGCCGTTTTGAATTCACGGTTCACAATAAACCTCAAAGCTGTTTTCGATACTAGCTAGAGTTAGAGGTGTACGTATAGATATAGCGCGTTAGAACCAAAATGTAGGCGCTGGCGCTCATTTGCCAGTAAATTAAATGAGAAGAAATTTTTGGAATTAAGTAGAACTTTTTCTCACGCTGAACTTTCCACTTGAAGTTGCATAAGATCAATCCTAACGGAATGGGTGGCTGAGCAAATCAGCATCACATCGGATCCGGTGATGCTGGGTGCTTATCATTATTATCCACGCTGTTTCAACTAATTTTACATGGCATCCGATCAAACTCAATCAGCAAGCTCTTCTCTAGTGCATATGCAGCCAGACGGAGGAAGTGACCTGTTAAATGGGCAGGAAGTCCTTGGAATCCTTGTCGATCAACTGTTCCATTTTTTCAGCAATGAATCATAGAACCTGCATACCCAAAATTCAAGGAGGAACGATCTATAGGAGGGGATTGCGGAAACTTTTTATATTCGTGAACCACTAAAAGGTCTGATAGCTCGCATATCCTGTTGCAGCATGAGTATGTATAATGGGATGTAGAAGGGATAGTAAATGTTATGAGGACTGGCTCACTCCCAACTCTGACTTTCTCAAGTGTATTCATTCTTACTGTGAAACATTGTTTATACTCGTGTGCTTCAGCTTGATGATTCCGTCCGAGAACTAACACTTCTAGCAACTGCCGTTACAATAGATCGAGATCTGATCATATTATATATTTATAAGTATTACAACATACCATGCAGTCTACTTTAACAGGAGTTCATTTCTTGCTCCCCTCTTTCCCTGTTGGGTCAAACTTGCTCTCAAAGAAGTTTCCGTTGGCTGCATCACTCGCCACTTTTTTGTAGAAAAAGTTCCAACCCACAAATCCGTCCCAACTAGTGCTTACATGCGCCCCGTATCGATTTTACGCGTACAAAACCCTATACTCTACCGATTTTCGCTTACTATAAATGGCGCTTTGAATCATAAAAGCAAGCAGAGGTTATTCGCATGCATGTGATCGTGAATTCTATTTATTAGGTGCACCTTTAATGTTTGTTTTTATTTCAGCGTCGAAGAATGATTGATTATATTGTTACTGGTAACTGGTAAGCTCCTAATTTGTCGCTTCTTTCAATGCTTTCGCCTATCAAGCGCACCATCATAGCTTCACGCTTCATTTCTACAAATCACTGACACTCTTACTTTACTCTACTCTCTATGTATAATTTCATCTAGCTGTGAATGATATTACTGTATGCCTGTCAGCTCTGATTTCTGTGGAAATCCTAAGAACTGTGCATTAACACATGGCTTTCTGCTCACTCTCATGCACCAACTGTAAAGTAATGCCTCTGACAGAGGCAGTATACTAATTGCTCATGAATAAACTGGTATTACATTTCAGTACAAATCACATGTTCTCAAATGCGCATCAACCGAACAACTCAGAGGCGGAACAACCATGACGAACACGTTGCCACCACGCGGTCGTCGTCAGATGGGTACTGTATTCACATCACATTCCTGCCCGTACTACAAATCAAATAAGTACTTGTTGTTCTCTCATGTGGTGGCTGCGTCGCAAAACTAGGAGTATTATTCACTTCGATGTTACTCTGTTGTTAATCCGTGTAAACGAATGAGCTCTGTTATATGCTCGATTCATGCTCAACGGACACTCCCAGTTCGTTTGAGGCGGCCACAGTGGGATGCGCGTCTAATCAATACGGGATGGCTGCTTCGAAAAGGCTAATACTAGTGGAGTGTACATTGAGAACTCCATGCAGAATGAGGTGTGATTCGTTCAAATTAATTTTTCCCTCCGGCTATCAACCCAGTCAAGTCTACTGGCATATGTACATGAGTCTGTAGGGGTCCCACTTTGTCTTGAATTGATTTTACTTCAGTCATACTCAGTCAGCATTTTTTTTTCTGTGTCATAGAAAGTGTTTTAAGATATCTAAAAAACGACATTTGACATCGAGTGCAATCAACTCAGAATGCAGCAATACCTGAAGCAGAACCACGGTGCACACGCGAAGCGGGCGCGCGGCGCGCATTCCTTGTATTGTCCCATCACTGGCTTCTTTCATAGTCCGCGATTTGGCCCGCGAGCGAGCGACGGGGGCGGCGCTTGCCCCTTGTTTACGACTGAATCTTGGTCGATACCGCCGGACGGTAGTCCCCCGTCGCTCGCTCGCGCTCGGGCCAAATCGCAGACTATAAAAGCAGCCACTGTGCGATTTTTGTGCCCGTTAGAGCCTTCAAACATTCCCATTCAATAATTAAAACCAATAATTAAGATCAGACCCACAGACTCTTAAGCCCCTGTCAACCGCAAATATGTCAATCGACCCGCCATTTCAAAAAGCTATTTCCCTCGGATTTGACCAGTGTAATCTAATCATCTAACTAGTACCACCATTTCTGATAGCAAAATTGATGCGGTGACGAAGCACAAAAGTAGCCTTAGACATTGCCAGAATGACGGGCTGCGCGACCGCGGCGCGTGTACAACTGTCCTGCAGCGGGTGATGCTCTATTCTGCGGAGAACTGCAAATAAAGCTAAATATATCTGTGAATACATGTACTGTTTGTAAAATTAAGACTGTAGATAATATAATAGTATGTGAGTGTGTGTGTGTGATATCACTGCAACACCGAATGTATCACTATTATTTGATCTGTTGTGTTCATGAGACTTATTCTATGTGTAATAAAAAGTTATTTCAATTGGAACGATTTCGAACTGTTCACATATCAACCTGACCCTTTCATTGAACTTGACAACTGGAAATTGGGGAGAGGTATGCCCACGTTTTCTATGCAACCTGGTGCCATTGCACATACATCATTCAGCAGTTCTTAGTTTGCAACTCAGCAGTCATCAATGCTTACCGTAATCTTAGGCGATAAGTGAATTATTCTGGGTTCAGGGTTTCAGGATGGGTTTCTTTGTTGTGCTTCATACTATAAATGGCACATTTTGCGTAGACCATTTTGATTACTAGCACCTAAGCATCCATGGTAAAGATGTCTCCTGAGCGAAGTCGAGAGGCGACGAAAAATCGGAAATAACCCTGGCTTCCCGGCAGCTTCTACATACAGCATCGAGTTCTTCATCCTGGGATCGAATATGCAGCCCCCTTCCCATTCTGGTGACTTTGAAACCTGTTATACGATTTTCTTCTTCCATACTCAACGATTCCAAAAATGACGTACATATTTGAAATCAGCGTCAAGAGCTCTATAGAAACATATGCAATTTGTACAAAAAATTTCGAAAAAATATTGGCCTTGATCTTTACTTTTCTGTTCATGCATGGATTAAGCGCGTTGATCTACCGCTGTCGATGCTGCCGATCCCTCGTTTTGCCGGCGCTCACTTCCCTGTCTGGGCTCTCCTCTTTCCCCACAGTGCCTAATTTTTTGTCAGTCCCTCGATTTCGATGAAGGGCTCCTTTCTCTTTATCCATCGATACTTGGGATAAAGGCATTACACCAGTAGCGGATCATGGAGATGCTGAAAATCAATCGAACTAGACCAGATTCTTAATTTTCGAAAGCAACTTGTAGATACATAAGTAAAGCTCTTGATACTCATTCCGACTGCAGATTTCCTTCGTCAGTTAGTCATCGCTAAAAGGGAATATTCTTGGGGAATAGGGTCAGGTTGTGGATTCTGATACGTTTGGACTAGGATGCGTCATCCACCTCTCTTCCATTTAGGCTTTTTGGTCTTGGAAAATAAAGAGTTCCTGATGAGCATCTGATTTATTCAATAGCTTGAGGAAATCAGTTGATCCAGCGAACCGGTGTGCTTCCAGTCCAATCACCTGAAGATAGATTGATAGATTTGTACATATGATATAATTCGATTTATTTCATAGCCATTTCACATTTACATAATTCTACTTGCTGATCGATCAAATGGTGTGAATACTCACGTTCGATACGTGCAACTTAACGCCTGATCACAACACGATTCATGGGTTCAGCGAACTTCGTCTTTCAACACAAATCTAGGCTACTATCACTACAATTATTGTATGAGCCCTACGAGGGCTTCAGTACGCTCCAACGCTAAATCTGTCAGCGAGCAAAGTCGTCCCACTTGGGGAGGGTTCGACAATGAAATTGGGCTGCATCGGTCTTCAGCAAGGTGATGCTTGTTCAGCTCAGAGTGTCGTATAGAGTTTATCAATGCCATCTATTAATAGTTTCTGATAATTGAAGCAATTCTGCCTGCATAATGTCATGTTGTTACATATTTCATAACATCGCAAATCTCAAATTTCTGGCATCGAAACCGAGCAAAGAGTAGGGATTTCTGGATAGTCTTTTCGACATTTGGAACAGCTTCGATTTCAACACAAGGTGACGATCACCTACCTCGTCCCCATCAGCCGTTCATTTCGGCGTCTCCTGAGTAGCTTGAATGGAAAATAGTGTTAACAGTAGAAGACGCAGTCGTTGTGCGATTTCGCCGAATGCAGTCGGTCGTCGTCGTCGGCCTCATATCTCTTAGTGATCGTAACGTATCGCAATCTCATACAGTTACCATGGTCTAGCCGTATCTCTCTTATGCTCGCTCCCACCTATATCTCTTGTTCGTTCTTATCTTTTCCATTTCTTGTCGAAGACAAAGTGTCTGTTTGCACATCCAAGTCACGTGGTGGCGTTGAGAGACAGTAAGAGCAGATGCGGTCGCCGCGCGGTGTGAGACCCAATCATCACCGGTCCTTCAATCAAACATTAAACACACACAGTCATATACATCCGTTCCGAGGAAAATGTCAATTTTCAGGCCTAGGCCTTACTTTTTGTGCTTTTCCAGTTATCCTTGAAACTTAACAACTGCTGGCTACATGTTGGAAAAAATGGAAAAACCTAAGGCGACGGGCGATTTTTTTGTGAAAACTCAAACCATGATGGCATTTGCTGGCTCCAATGGGTTCGTCGGTGCCGGCAAAGGGGTGCACTGGAGAACTGACATAAGCACTGGGTGCAGTTGCGCCCTTCGGTGTTAGGGTCGAAGTACCCGATGTTCACCCAATGTTCTGCACGAGTAACAGCAAAAAAAGTGCGGTCTAACGGAAAAAAGCCAACCTAAGGCTAACCAAAGGTTGTGTCAACTCTTTGTAGTCTACTGTAAAAGTGTAAATGCCGATGACTTCGACAGCCGTCTCAGTTTTTCTTACTCCCACGCCAGTCTGGTCTTTAATGATCTCTTTAAAAACCGCAAACCTGTTTGGTTTCTCTCCATTCGCTCTTTGTTTTCGTATGACATCGTCTATCGAGCAAGGAACACAGCAGAATCTGCAAATACCACCACTTAGTCAATGCGATTGTGTTCGTTTTCAATGAAGGAGGAGAAATTTCAGACTTCTGCCAAACAGTTCCTACGATCAGGTTCGGTCACAGGACGGTCTAGGGGGCTCAAGCAGGCGATGTGAAAAAAGGGGTAGTAGTAATTCAGTACAGTTGTTGGGTTTCAGATAACACTTAGGCATTAGAACCACCTTACCGATAGGTACTCATTGGAACACGTGTCTTTGTAACAGGGGAAACAATTGGTTCAAATGTTTTTGTCATGAGAACACGTAAGTATGTCCTGAATTAGCACTATACGGTAGGGTACTTCATTTGCGATCTTTTTACCTTGTGCTTCTATTTTCAAATAGAAAAACTGGTTTAACTAGTTCAATTCAGTAGTTAATAGGTGTTTGTCAAGTCGTTGCGCCCGAGAATCGCCTGATCACACCATTTCCATGCGACCAGATTCGACAGCAATAACATCTAATTACAGATTATGCCAGAACATGATTGATTACATTATAGTAACATTTACTAGTTACTTTACTGAAATGGTGCATATAATTGGAACTTACGGTTACGACTGTACCTGGTAGCAATTCGTTAGAAGTAGTTTTACATGCGCATCATCCATTCCAGACCCGTCTTCATTACCTCGACTTTACTTGGGAACATGTTTATTAGTTAACCAGTTAAAACACTGGGAAAAATGGATCCAATGGTTGCCTACTTAAAGCCAACCACACAACCACACCCATGCCCCCAAATTCTCGACCATTCCATTAGAGTCTGTGTAAGGTGGAGCTGTCCACTCAGCACCTGTTCATGGCTTATCCTGCTCTTCCTCGTTGGAGTTACTTGCGCAGTAGCGTATTTACAACAAGTTGAAAGTCATAGAACCGATATCGGACAAAAATAACAAAGCACATATATATTTATTGATTAGCTGATAGAACCAGTACTATAGAATCTTCTATGTATTCTTGCATGCAAATAGACGAAAACGAGATGGCACATTTTCAATATGCAACACATGACATCATTGCGCACCCGAACGCATTACTTAGGTAACAGAAATGCCCTTTTCAGGTGATTTATAATGAGTTATGCGTTCTTGTACGCTGGAACACATTTATAGATACATGATATGCTGGCCTATCTGATAGATCCACTTTGGTAGACTCATTCATCAGAAAAACAAAGTGCTAATACACAGTAATATACTGCTACCCTCTTAGAAATATTTTCTTGTCACCTTTAGCACATTTGCTGGGAGTGAATGTATGAGGGTGACCAAAAATCACACCTTATCATTCATTACAGCAGTCAAGGGGGAATGATAAACTTATAAATGAGACATCTATGAGAAAAACTTATTATGACAACATTGTAATTCTAAGAATAGAGAAGTCTCGGAACATATAACTACAGTAGTAACAACATATATAAAATTATAAAAAAAGCAATAATGCAACCATGATAACTGGACAAAATACATAGCACGCGTAATCGGATAGAAATGGTGAAAGAATAAAGAAAATAGCTCGAACAGAGATACAACACGATGACCCAGTTAAGATGCGACTACTTGACACAGAGTCGCTGCTTTTTTTGTGTATAGCAGTTGATACTACTATACCCTTTGGACATATTTTTAGATCGTTCTCGTCCATGTCGGGTGCATAGTCCGACCATACTGTAATGATGGCCGCGATAATTATGTGATGTGGCAACAAAAGTTTATGTACCGTAACCTTTTAATATGTAACAACTCTCACCTGGATATCGATGATGGTCTCGTAAAACCGTTGCATAAGATTTGGAGTGTTCTTCATCGTCGGCACGTCCCAGGTTTCATGGAGACCCTTCTAAAATAGAAATAAAAACTCATAATAGCAAGAGTAAACCATGCAATTCAATGACACGATTAATCGTTGTTACCTACCTGACGGTTAAAGTAAAGGATCTGTCCGATGGGTGACACAACACAGGCGGTTCCAGCACCGAACATTTCCAACAACTGAAAAGCAAGGTTTAGTGACTTCGAAAAAAGGGGACCCATTTCAAGGTATCGCTAGTGTTATGCTGATGTGACTTACCCGACCCTCATCAAGGGCTCTCTTGACATCATGCATTGTAAATGACTTTTCGGAAACCTTGAACTCTCCCCATTCTCGTGCCAATTCCAGTAACGAGTCACGGGTTACACCAGGCAAAATAAGACCTCGTTCAAGTGGTGGTGTGATTAATTCAATCTCTGAAAAGGCTTTTCAGTATTGAGTGAAAGACTTCATTTTTCTTTGGAATGTTTCTTCTTTCTGGAGCGATTCAGGACTCTTTTCACTGAGGGCGTTAATTACGATTCGCTGCGATTTACCGAGGTAGTTTTTCATTTCCCTATGTTTACTTGAAAAAAAGGTAACCACCTCATAAAAATGGGCGAGGGGGGAAGGAGGAGGGGGTTATAACGCAGGCTTTGATCGGGAAGTTAATCGCCAAATCGTATGTGGGATGAAACTATACTTGATCCTGCCCTTCACTACCTACTGCGAAAGCTCCTGGTTACACACGAGCAATCTCACGTGACCCATTTCCACTACGAAAACTAGACTACCAAGTGACACCACACCACTCTTCAGTCTTTCTAATCACCTGTTATTTCTGCAGTGGGCAGCTACTGGCATCCACTACGTAACACTATGCTACGTCACTTTTGTTATCACCGCTAACGTTGCAATCTCTGTTGACCTCAGCGATACCAAGGAAGTAAACATATTGGAACGACTTTTCATGCTATTACTGTGGAACTGAGCTTAACTTTTCGATGAACCAACCTCCTTCATCGTTTTTCCAGTATACAAAGATGTTCATTGTGCCCACTTCCGTCACCTCTTCATTTTCACCGTGGAGCCAAAGAACTTGTTGGCAATTTCGTGCAGCAGCCTCCTTTCCAACCCAAATCGTCGGGGCGTAGTTGCTACAAGTAAAATTGTTACAAAAGTAGATGCAGAGAATATTAATAAAGCCCTAATTAAACGTACCATCCCATCTTGTAGGCTCCCACGCCTCCTGGGAAGGCTCTGACATATTGAGGGTCAGCAAGAAGGCGAACAGGCTGGAAGCCAGTCGAGTAATACTGTCCGACCGGTCCCGTTAAAACGAATAGTTTAGCTTCCAGCGGGAAACCGACCCCCAGAGTAGGCTGAAAGATTGCCGATGGAACACTGCTTCTTCTTTGCCTCGAATACGATTGAAAGCGGAAAGCAATTAGACTAATTGAGTAGATAACTCACATCGGTGCCAATGAGCGTAGGTCGAATATACAGCGAAGACGTTGATGAGTATGGAACCCATTCCCGATCAAGGGAGATCTGATCGCAAATGATTTTGATCAGCTCTTCAGTATCGAAATCCTGAAACAGATTTGTTATGGCATATGTAGAAAGACGAGAAGAAACGCTTGTCTTTCCGTTAACGCACTAATCCTTTTAATTCGCTTAGACGGCTCTTCTAATGAGTTCCCAGTAATGCCGTTGTTTTGCCAATAAAAAGACGAAATGAACGAGCACCACTTAATTGACTCCAGGGACGATAGGAGATCTTACTGTAGCAGAAGAAAAGGGAAAATAGAGCAATAACCATGATGAACTTACAGGAAGCGCCGCTCGATGAGCTGTTCGTCGCATGCGTGCCATATTTTTATCTGGACGGAACAGCCGAATCTTGTTATCCACTCCTCTGTATGCTTTCATACCCTCGAACAATTCGGTAGCATAATGCAGAACCTTAACGGCACACTGTGAATAGAAGAAGTAAGGAGTAAAGCATTACCAGTAACTGGTCATGCTCTTCTTTTGGAAATTACGAAGCTCCTTTCTTGGTTTGACTAATTACAAGGAGTTCGGTGATATAAAAAAAATTGGATTAGAGAAATGTGTAATCACATCTAAAGTGTACCAGTTTCATAGAGAACTACAAGTAGTTGAAATAGAAACATCTCTCAAAAAACAGTGATAAGGTGATAATAGGAAAAAGTAGTAAAAAATAGCGGGATGGAAAATACTTGGCACTAAAAACCGTAAAATAAATAAACTATGTAATTCAAATTCTTAATAATGAACAGAGGAAAAAACCTCCAACGAAATGCTGAGAAAGCAAATATGAAAACTGATATAGTCGTGAGCAACTATAAAGCACTATAAAACAGATACGACAGTTTTAGTCTAAAAAAGGTTGAAAGCGGGGAAAGGATTGCAATCACTACTTTAATTAGCCACCGGAAGCAGTGGAAAGCGAACGGGCACACAAAAAGCTGAGGAGCTTGGAGACCATAAACCCACGGAAGAGAGCAGTGAACCTTTGGAACAAATTTTGTGTAAACAAAATCTCAATCTAGTTAAGTAAACTAGAACCGTCACGTGGGATGGTAATTTTATGCAGTTAAGTAAATCTAGTTAAGTAAACTTAGCCATCACGAGGGTTGTTAATTTTATGTATTCAAAGCCTAAAGAAATCGGACTCTAATCAACCCAAGCTATATCAAAAAGATTTTTCTTTTTTAAAACGCTTTCATAGAGGATAAGCTCTTGGAAACGAAATGTAAATACTACAGAAACGGCAAATTGAGTTGGAGCACTTGATCGAGTGGGCAAACTATTATGCTGTTCCCCAGGTGCTTTTTTAATGGCAAGCCAAATGCAGTACATAGACCACAGTAAACAAAAAACAACGCTACCTTTGAACCTGGATGAATACTGAGATTCCTCAAAGGTGTGATCTGAGGATGAGTCCAGCCGTCTCGTTCAGACCAGTCGGCAAAGGACATATGATCGGCATAATGATGACCAAACTTCAGCACATCATTTGGACCTGGTTTTGGGCGTAGCTCACTTCCAGTCGCTGGGGTTACCACCAAGTCCTGATGCTGTAACATACATAGACAAATCAATTTTCAGGTGAACATCGATTTTGTGATGCCCTTTATTTTCTGCACCTAAGTTTTCATAGATAGTAGTACCCTTAGTGCGACATCCGGTTCCTATTCGTTTTGGTTTCTTCCAGTTTTGATAAACTCAGATAGTAAACTACTTTTTCGAAGGGCAACTAATCATCAGAGCGTGTGCTGAGTGTTTATCAGTCGTTCCTTCCGTCACATCTCTGACCAGTGGACGGGCAAAGCAAATCGCGCTATGCTTCCAGTTTTAGCGGCGTCATCCGTATAGAAACCCATATCAGTTTGTCACACTCAGACCGTATATGGACAGCCCAGTGGCTGTTTAATGAACACGTGAATTGACAGACATTTCTGGTCTTAAGACAAAAACGCAACTGCAAAAAAGCAGATTGCGAAAGGTCGTTTTGTCAGAGATCATAGAACAGTAAAAGTGAAACGATCAGTGATAAAAACTGCGGACTTACATAGAATGACTTGTGCGGATCACCAGTTGGTTTAAGGCCGATCCGATCTCCGACTTCTGGTGCTTGACTACTTGTGGCCATAAAACGTGGAGCCACAATGGCTGCACGAGTACTTGCTTTTAAAAGCTTGTTCATAACCTGAAAAAAGATGTAACGCTCTGAAATCGTGAAAAATATATCACGAACGGGAAAACAAGGCTGAAAAAATCCGCTCTGATAACGACTATTAGTAATGCTGCACTATAAAAAGATCAACTTAGATTAGGAGATCTTTCGAGGGTTTAGACTTCTCCCAAAAAGAACGAATGAACATGAAAACAGCGCGGAGAAATCGCGCCTACTGTAGCGCACAATAGAGCTGACGACTATGCATGCACTACTAAACCCATCGCGGGTCAGCGCGACGACATTTCGCAATCACTACCGTAATCGCAGGAAAGTCGCGGAGGACCCACGATATAGAGAGTTCCCCTAAATTGATGAGCGCTTTTCATTCAAAATATTGCAGCAAGCAAACAAGAAGCTTTGCGCGTCGGGTAGGACAAATGAGGCTGGCGGCTATGTGATCGTCTCGGTTGGGGACGGACCGTAGGTGAGGCGAGGCCACCGAGCGGAGTCGCTCGGGTGGAGTGAGAATACCAGTCGACTCCGCCCCCTCCCGTTGCGCTACAGCAGCAGGGCGGTGGTGGCGGCGACGACGACAGTGGCGTCAGCGCCGTGGCCTATGTCCAGGAACACGCGGTAGTCTGGATGCATTCGCGATCACTCAGCGAGCGCGAACGGAAGGAGAATCAGCATGACGCAATGTGCACTCACAGCGGCAACAGCTAACCCCACGATATCGCCGGAGTAAGCCGGGTGACCTTTCATCGACATGTCGTAGACATGAGGTACAGCTGAGCGTGCACAGGGTCACAATGATGTCATTGAAAAAAACACCTCGTGCAACAGTAAGTGGCGATACTAACTAATAAAAAGTAGTAGCAGCAGCAGGGAGGCGGTGTAACGCTCATGCGATCGCGATCTGCATGACGTCAATGATTCGCTGCAAAACGAAACGCAAACATGCACAGTCGAAAGACTATTTACAAACTACCGACAATTACTGAAAGGGTAATTTCGGGTACATAGTGATGATTGAGAAAAATGGCACAGTGATCACTATGTAGCACGTGGGGCAATATTACAACACGATCAGGGTGCCCAGCGCAAAAAACAAGCGTTTAAACCGTCAACATGTACGAAAAAAAAGTTCAGTTTGCAGAAGGGAAAAAACGCTCCCCCTGAAAAAAACGTGCTGACCGCAAGAAAAACTTTCTTGTTTCTCAGCAAAGAAATCAGTCAAGAAAATCAAAATAAAATCAAGAAATCAAAGATCTGGAGGTACCTGTATACTGCAGCAGAAAGACGAAGTTACCATATACCATTAATGAAATAATTGCGTTAATCTATTAAAGTGACGTGAGTTGATAAGAAGAGTGACCTTTTTTTGCTGCAAAAATGTCTTTTGACTTGCTCCCAGCGTTCTTCACACAAACCCCGCCTCCCGCACATATACCACCTCTCGGCAGTAAGCCAATCAAAAAGGAGAAAAGACATCGGGTTTACATAGTTCTCTCCTCACATTACACTAGAAGATCTTTTTTTTCAGAAACTCCCTTGATATAGAGATAGCAATAGTTAACTACACAACACTCAAAACCAATAGAATCACTGTAGAGTTTCCCTTGAAATCGCAATCGCTATGAGTACTAGGCCATAGGAGCTTTAGAAACATAAAAACAAATTTAGTTAAATTCACGATTCAAAGATATAGGTGTGGGCAATGGAAAAAGCTCACATCACTACTCCAGGGGCGATTGTACTTGGACCATCGCAGTTCTGCTTATCGTCTCAAGAATTTTAATTTACTCTCATGATAAACGAGGTGTTTGGGCGTAAAATGGTGACGAGAAGTGCTAATGGTAAAACATGAGCAGTTCCGCGAAACTTTCCTTGCTATTTATACCCAAACGTGGTCGCTCAACAGAAATAACTATGGATCAGACGCGCAATTACACAAGAAATGGAACACCGTTCCCATTAAACCTTTTTGGTTGGAAATTTAGAAGGTAGCGAACTTGTTATAGCATCGGGCTACCAAAAAAGAAAAAAANAAAAAAACAAGAAATTCTGATGTATTCCATTCGATTAGGATGTTACGACCCATGTTTTAGACGACGAGAAAAAGAGAAAATTTGAAAAGAAAATACAAATTGAAAAAAAAACAGCAGAAGCTTGGAAAATACGAGTTGAATGCCGAATCGGATCTATCGCTGGCCAATAAGTTTTTTATATCTTATTGCTTACTCGGTAGATCCTGTTAGCATGAATGCTGGAATGATCAGGTATGAAGAACTGTTATATGTTTCGATTAAAACCACAAGGTCCCAACATACTATTGTCAACAAATTTACAGACGAAATAAGTCCAAGGGTTAAACGAATATGATTGAAAGCCAAATATTAACTCTAGTCTAGCCAATTATAGTCCACAGTTCGCTGAACGCCGTCATGCGTCACAAGCCTCGCGACAATGGGCGGGAAACTGTCGTAACGGGATTAAGTTGGCTGTCAACAAAAAGTTCGTTCCAGGGGCTAAACCCAAAAAACAACCACATTCCTTTCAAGTTTGTTTATGAACAAAAATTAGTCGCCAGGACAGGTTAGGCTCTATATATATTGTTTAACCACACCCTTCTTCAGTTCATGCTGCCGTGAGAAGAATTTGAATTGTGCGCGCGCCAAATCGATGTCCAGCAATAGCGATATAAACCTTCGCTGATCCAAAAGTATGAAAGCGTTTTAGACGCTGAGAAACCATTCAAAAATATCACATATGAGCACAATTTTGAGTGAGAGAAGTTTTTGGAAAATATAACTGCCAGCGATTATACGCATACGTAGAGCAATGAACCTGCGAAATGTCTTGAAAGCAGATGGCAAAAGCTGGAAAAAGTCAGGTCTTGGCTATAGGCTACATCTTTGGCAATATTCCAGAAACTCTTCATCCGAGAGAGAAGCAAAGAAGTGTACGCAGAACATACCAATTCACTGGACGGTACTAAATTAGGCGTCAATTAATTGTTCTGCAACGGGTAGTACGACCATTACGCTTTACTCCACGGGAGAGACAGTAAGGAGCATATGGCGATTCATCGACAGTGGGTGAGTAATGTGAAAGATGGGCGTCCGATTTTAATCACAAGGCTTCCCACAAAATGAAGGCTCCTCTGCGCAAACTTCTCTTAGAGTATTACACTAAGTGAACTTTCTCGGAGTAAAGCAGTAAATAGTCACAGAGTAAAAATAAACTTTGTATGTTCCATATCAAAGCGCCGTCAATTAACTGTGTCGTTGTCACGGGCCATCGATCGTTGAGATTACCGCTAAGTTGCTCTTAACGTGTCCAACAAGCAATGAGTGGCAGAGACAAAAACTCGTCCACAGAACTTCTGTATGATATGAATAATCAGGGGCATCCAAACTAGCCGGTAGCCTCAGTAACATGTAGTGAGCAGTGCTGATAATGAACTGATAACGGTTTCGAACGGGTAAAAAAAAAACGGCGTTGTTGCAACACTTGCAAGAACGGCTAAAAACGAATTGCAAGGAAATAAGCGATTAAAAAGAAAAAGAGATGAAAGACGAAAGAACTGACGTCTTATTTTATCACGAGCTTTGGTGGTAAGAGAAATGAGTTGAGAGAAGAGAAGTGGCGTGCAGTCAGCACGTGGCCGTTGGCCTGTCGGCCGCGAGACTAACGAGACGCAGGTTGGCTGGACGTTTCCACAGAGATCGTATCGCTCAGACACAGACGTACAACGGTTCTCACCACGAGAAATTCTACTGCGATCATGTGAAAACGATGATTCAGCGTTGTTTGAGCCGGGCAAGGCCGAGAGATACTGTTGGATTGCCAAAAATATCGTGGAATTGTTGTAAAGTGCAATGCAACTCTCATAGTGTACACTTCTCTTGAACACATGGCCGCATAGATTGAGAAAAACATGACCTGATCCGATACCGCGGGACAAATGTTCAGTGGGAAGGAACGAAAAAACGAAAAGCCACCAGGATGACGTCAGGGAATGAGAATTCTTGACCACGTGACGACATAAAAACCCACCAGACCACTGATTCCGTATCATGGCAATGACTGATGGGGGCGTCTGATTGTCCTTGAAGCAATGAATCACTGCTTCCATTAGTCTTTGGGAAACATCCGTTCTCTGGTCTATTTGTGTCACTGCCCCCTGATCTGTAGGAATGAAAATGTTTTGAGAACTTTGGCATTATTTACCCTTTACTGCCCCATTTTGTCGAGAATGGGCTGGAGTTCTATGGATTTTTTTTTCAAGAAGATGAAACCGACTAGAAACTTGCCTAGAGGGGTAATTTGACCCGTAGAACACGAATATCGCATCTATTACTCATGAAAATGCCTGGCTCCCAGCTACCTATTTCTGCGCGACATTCTCAAGGGACGTCGCTGGAGTGCGCGCCAAAACCGATGGCGCGTTTGGCGCCAAAATCAAATATGTGGCGCGAGTGCTAGGCGTCTTTATGCCAAGTGGATGCGAGTCAAATTACCCCTCTAGGGAAGTTTCTAGTCGATTTCATCTTCTTGAAAAAAAATTCGTCAGAAATCCGGCCAATTCTCGACAAAGCGGGCAGTAAAGGGTAAGTATTGCCAGAACTTTCTGTGAACGGAGTTATGAAACATGGTAATTAAATTGTAATTATTACAGCAATAATTCGCTTCCGTAGCTTTGCCTCAACATTCGTTGGAGGGTATTTATCTCTTGGGTGTCCATACACTGTCTGCGCTTTGGCCTTGGAAGTATTAGCTGTTCATCAACAGCTCTCTCTTCTCATCACTGTACTTGTACGTGGGCGTGTTTCCTCTACTTGAGTATGCCGTTGCCTCACCTTTTGAAAATGTAATTTGTACTGGTTTCAACGGAAATTTCTTGTTATTCTTAGTATCTTTATGCCTCATCCAGTCTTGTTGCTCTTTTTAAGATGCACCTTTGGGAAGCTTCATTTTTCATTTTTTAGCAGAGGAGTCCATCATTAAGCCCCAAGCTTGCAATTCCTAGTTGCACCTATTTCTCATCTTTTATATATATGTATATATATACATATTTATATAATTGTTTACATCTTTGCGTGGCTCACAATTATATGTGTGAATGTACTGTCTGGCGTGTAGAGTTTTCATTTTCATGGATTGTCTCCCTTACCTCCTGTCCCCTACCGCTCCACCATCAGTTGGCACTTTTGAAGGACGAAAAAGGGAAAGGTCGTAGCTAATAAAAATCGACCTTAAAGCCTAACACAGGTGGAGAAATTGATAAATGAAGCTTAATTGACTACTACGGGTAGAAAGTAATTGAGTGTTGTGAGGAGTTACTGGGTTGAAGACGGATACATGGACTATTCAAGTCATGGTTACGTTAAGATCAGACTTTCTGGAGATCACTCAAGTTTTGCAGTGGAAAAGCAGTTTCTGGTGGCTAGTTCCATTAGCATGATTGTCCCACTTAGGTGAACTCATGCTTTGAACTACCACTGGGACTAGCCAAGCCTCTATTGGTGGATCCCTGCCCACCAATAAAAAAGGCCAATAAGAGAGGAGCTTGTTCTCAAAGATCTATCCCCATAGTTATCACTGAGTGCCTCCAATACTTGTGAAACGATTTGTGGGGGCATCAATTAATCATTGAGGTGAATCATTGATCTATTCGTGGACATCGAAAAGTTACAGTAATGATCGTTCTATTGATGTTCTCTGTTGCATATGCCTTAAACATAAAGTGCAAACACGCATGATCGCTCAGGCTCATCAAATTTTCGTTGCCATTTGATGTTAATAAATCATCAATAGGCAATGTATGTGTGGGGAACTCAGTCCCCAATGGGATGGGGTAGTACTTGTGGACGAGAACATTCTTGTGGAGAAACACCAGCGAGCCAGGCAGGTGGAGTGAACGTTTTTGAAAGTTCTTCTGGCGTTGAGGTCTTCAGGTGGAACACTTTTTAAAATTAACAGCCTGACTTTCGAAGTAATCGTCGTTTCCATCAGAGGCCAGATTCTATCGTTGAAGCGGATAGAATCTAATATCGCCACAGGCGACTGTCAACGGCGAATTTTGTTTATTTATTCGCTTGTTACAGTATCGAGAGACACTCTGGTGAAGTCCCATCCCTTTGTTATGATCAGTAATAAAATGAAACACGAACTGCAAGATTTTGACTTTTCACCTAATGTACTCCTTGATGACGTGTATTGTTGTGAGTTAACTACCACGCAATCTCAACAGCGTGATGTTCGTTTGATTGACTACTTCGTTCACACATCACTGATCGCTGATCTGAGAACACACACACACACACATACACACATACATA